TGGCAAACACTTGGAGTCATTTCACTTATTGAAAAAGCAAAGAGACGCCATGCAGCTTCTGGTGGAGAAACCCATCTAGCAGATTGGTATTCTTTGATTTCATCTATTTCTACATTAGTATCATTATTATGTACAGAAAATGCAATTTTGTCATGTCCTTTGCAAATATATTTGTAAATGTATTTGATAACCTTAATGTCAGAACATATTTCAACATTAATATGACAACTGAATTTCGTAAGTAAAAACGGATTGTATGGAACAGTCCAACAATTGTCAATGTAGTGTCCTCTAACTTTGATTGGTGTGATCATTTTTCGTCTTTTGTAAAGAGGATACGAATTCTTTCCTTTGGTTGTTTGTTCAACAAGTTGTTTTGGATATTTAAACTTACATTTTCCTTCTTTTTGCATGCAAGAGTTTGAAGGATTTAAATAGCCACAAGGACCATGGATCATGTGTTTGGTGACAAGTTTGTATAGATGATGATCAATATAGGGATCAGGTAATTCAGCACATACAATTTTGTCATATGATTTTGGCGTTAGCAATTTATATCCATCCATAAGTATAATGAGAAAATGGGCATGTGGAAGACCTCTTTTTTGAAACTCAATTGTATACATAAAAGCCGCAACTTTTCCAAATATGTTGTTTTTTTTAATATCTGCTTTGAGTTCTTCGACTTTTGCTCTGAATACTCTACTAACTAAATCAGGTCTATTTTGAACTTCTTCCATTGGCTGTAAATGTTCTTGTATTTCAGGCCAACAAGGATTACAAGTCAGTCAAAAATATGTCGGGCTTTCCAAAATGTTGTACCAAAGCAATGGCATCCATATATCTTCGACGCATATCTCTTGGGCCTCCTATAAAACTACCAGGAAGGAATTTTTGTCTCCCAATATTGGAAGCATCTCTTTCTCCTTGTCTCAGTAAATCAATAATTCCTTGGAAAGCTTCAACTCTAAATAAATCTTGATTAAATGAAACAAAGTCTAATCTTTGTGTCTCAAGTTTGATATATTGGTCAACTATGTATTGTTGAAAAAGCCTTCCAGAATGTAAAGTGTCATTTGGTTCTTCATCTCTTATTTGAATTTTATAACAATAATATTCACGACAAGAAACAGTTTCCTAATCCCTTTGATAAAACTTTAGATTCGATGTGAAGGAGTCTATCAATAGAAGTCATATTCATTATACTTGGTAGTTGGTCATATTCAGAAGAAATTTGTGTGTTGGAATAACTGTGTGTCTTGTTGAATTTTTTAATACCACAATGCCAACCATTTTGACCATAGGGAAACAATAGTGGATATTGTAATGGGTCATAACATCCATAATAGTAATTGACCAATTGGCTTTTGTTACTATGAGTGTAAATTCGAATATGTGGTGTATGAATTTTATCATTTAACTGATCTTCAATCCAAATTGCCCCAACTTCGGATGAAGTTGGTAAGTTATGTGTTCTTTGGTCTAAATTGGAACTTGAGTTTAGAGCAATGTAAAATTCGAATAAATTAGGAACGACTGTTAACGATCTTAGAAAAGTAGAATAAGGATTAATTTTTAGTATATCAATGAGCTTCGCAACAATCAGTTCATTAAGATTATCTGATAACTTCATTCGATTTGTTAGCTCATTTTGGTTATCATAGAAATATAATTGTAAATTTTTTGATTTTCCTACTGAGGGTATCAAATCATCAATGAAGTGATATATTTGTCCTTGGACTTTAAATGTATAGATGCCATGATTTCTCTTTGCTAATTCTCTATCATAATGTACTCCAAGTGAACTGAAGGCAAACATATTATTGTAGGCTCTACTGTAAGTGCGAAAATGTTGACATTCTTTGGAGTCACCCAAGAACAAATTGTGCAACTCAATAGGCATATTATAAGAAGATAGTCTAATTGATCCATTATCACAGCAAAAACCTGGTGATTCATATTGAAACCTTTTTGCTGCACAAAATTTGCAATTTGGGACTTGCTTTAAAAGTAAGTAATGTTTTGGCGTTAAATTATCATTTTGTAGATTGACTTGTAAGTTATTTCGAATTTGCAATTTGGGACTTTCTTTAAAAGTAAGTAATGTTTTGGCGATAAATTATCATTTTGTAGATTGACTTGTAAGTTATTTCTACCTGTGCATGGTACAAAGCAATTATTTCGTATATATAAAGTAAGAAGAATACATGGGTTTTAATGAATTTGGTACGAAGAAGCATACCTTTGTTTGGAGTACATGTGGAAGTTAATGTGGTTGCAACATGAGATGTTATTGATGTTGATCCTAGTATGAGAAAATAAAGTATTTAAAAACAGCTGTGTAATTATGAAAATTGAACGTAGTTAAAATAGTTGAAGTAATATTTGAGAACTGACCTTTGTGTAATTATGGAAACTGAACATAGTTAAAATAGTTGAAGTAATATTTGAGAACTGACCTACTTCAAAGGTAGATAAGCAATTGACCATACGTTGTCCTGTAGTTGAAGTAACTGGTAGAGTTGTAGGTTTGCAAGCTTGAACAACAAAATGACCAAAATAAATGTAGTAAGAGTAGGTCAACTAAAACGTGTAACTATAGGTACAGATATTGAGAAGCGAGATTTGACGGAAGGAAGATAAGAATATGGTTAGCTGACCTTGTTGAGAAGATACTGAAGAAGTGGTAATTGTAAGAGCGCCATTACTATTGGATTGATGAAGGAGTTTTTGTCGTTTTGATTCAGCCCTTTTTTGTCTTAGTTGGGATAGAAATAAATTTTTTCTCTCTGCTGACATTTCTGCATATCTAGTACGGCGACGCAAATTTTTTTCAGAAGTTGTCTGTTGCCCAGACACATTATCTCTATTTTCTTCCATTCCTGTTTGAAGTAGTTAATGATTTGTTAAATAAATTGATAACTTAATGTAATGTGGGAAAAGTACATATAGGTGACCCAAAAAAACCAGCATAGTAGTAAATGACTATAATAGAGTAGTGTCATTTGTTTTGTAGTAAGCAATTTGAAGGGAAAAAAAAAGTGAATGTAACAATGAAATTATGGTTAAATTGAAGGGCATATAGGCATAAATATATATTGAAAAAAATATGAGAGTAGGCACCACGATAGGGTTTTTTTGAACATCTAGACAAATTAGGAACAGAACATGTGTAGCACATACAGCTTCTATCACATTTAGCCTATATAAGGCTAATTAAATTAGCTTTCTCTCTTGGCAATGATTGTTTAACATAAAGAATATTTGAATTGTAATTGTTCTGTTGGAACTAATAAAAGAATGTATCATGATTTTCACAGATGAACGTTTTACAGACGGCACAAAGAAATTGCGTAAGAAGTATGATCACAGCGAGCGAAACAGTTAGTTTAACATCGAGCATGGAGGCTGAAGCTTTTCGTCAAATGTAGTAGAAACAATTATGTAGAGTAATCAAATTCGATCGAAGGAGTAAAAAATTGAAGTAACTGTGCAGAGCTCTGTTAGTTGTTTGACATGCTATTGTGTTTCACACTAATGTGATATCATAAGTTGAACGTATCGTATTATTGTGAAATTAGAAATGATGATATGGCTTTTGTCACTGTAAAAAACAAAGATGCGAAAGAGTTTAAAGTAGATTGACAGTGACAGTTGTGGCTGCTATTATTGGCCCTTTCAATACCAGTGGACAGTTGGTAAAAATGGTCACAAATGCACATCAGAGTTATATACATATTTATTTACTTTCTGAAACATGCATATATAGGAAAAGAACATACAATTTATGATAGGCAACCTAAGAATCCAAAGAAAACGAAAGAATGGAAAAAATAATGGGAGAAACTACCTGTAGAATGAATGACAGAAACAAAGCAATAAGCTGTTAAAATGTAAGGTAAAAAAGATTGTTACCTGAACTATATTAGCTCTTTCTCTGTTTGTGGGAAATTAGAGGAATGTGAAACAGCTGATTTATTAATTTCCTGTAAATAAACAAAACAGCTAATAAATGAACATCTTTGATAGTAGCTTATGTAAAATTTGAGGAGGTTTATTAGATAAGATCATAAAAAATTGTGTGGAATGAAATGCAGAAGGTGAGAATTGAGTTGAATATTGAGAAAAAAGTTCACAAGACGTAGAGTTGACAGAAACACAGCTTGAAAATTTGCTGTATTGATTTGCAGAGGAAGGCACAAAAAGTCGACAGTGAATTTACAATGAATCCTAAAATTAAACAATGTTCGCTTTAAGCCTGTTTTTTCATTTGCACATGCATGTATATATACATGAGTATTTGACTACTGTAATTGTTTAATGTAAAATTTTGTTTCATAAAGCTGTCCAACTGAAGCTACATCAGCAGAGTTGAAGTGATTGACCTTTCAGTCGAGAAAGTTGGTGTGATAGAAAGAGAGCCTATATGTAGAGCAATGACAACTCGAAAGTGATTTCGGAGAAAGAACAAACGTATAGTTCCATCTTAAGAGTAGTTCCATAAAAAATAAAAATGAGAAAAGATCATGTGAATGTAAAGTAGCACATGTGTTTTCTTTGCTCCTTTGAATTTTTTCCCTTTCAGATCTACTAATGTTGATCCATTTGACGACTAATTTTATTGTTGTTTTCTTAGTTTTCTAGCATATGGCAAGATGTAAACACAAGGGTGGACAAGCAGATGGGAAAAAACAGCATGTTCTCGGGGTCCGTAGAAACCTTGTGGATGCTTCAAGTGGTACTGAAAGCAAATCCGCCTAAAGAAAAGTGTGGCAGAATGTTGACCAAGAATGTGATGATATCGACAATTTATGACTATGCGTCAATGTCAAGTGATGGGAAAATGGAATATTTCATCATCAGTATTGTTACCTAATGTGAATGAATGGAAATTTGATCTTGAGTGAAAACTTTGAGGAAACAGTTTATTTGGATGGTGAATTGTTTCATGGAGGTAAATTTTAACCCCGAAACAGCTCGAAGTAGCTGAGGCAAAAGTACTGGGAAAAGGACAGGCAGCGAAAATGTGAAGAGAGAAATCTCCCTAGCTGCACTATCTGCAGAAATAATTCAAACTGATGTATGTATTTAGTTTTATTGAGAAACATGCAAGAGCAAATTAGATAACGTTGTGGACATGCAGAGCTAAGTAATTTTTGTAAGAAAAGATGACAGCAGCATTGCAGAGTAAATTTTGCAGAACATTGATGTGCTAACGAAGACATTGTAATAGACCGAAACGTTAGGAAAGTATTTCATCAGCAGGTTTTGCAGTAATACAAACCAATAATGGTTGAAAAGTGAAAGCTATGGTGTATATCTTTTGTCTAACTGAAAAGAGCACATATTAACCATAAATAATCAGCAGAATATGAGCGAACAAAAGTCTATCAAGCAGCAGTTAATAGTCTAGAGTAATAGTTGGTTTGCAGGCATTTAATGTAGAAAAGGCGGAAGTTCTGGACAAGAAAAGAGTACAATATAAAATTGAACTCAGACAATGAAGTCCTACCAAAGCATAAATGTAGCGACATAAATGTTTATTTCGTCTAGTAACAAAGCAATAAGAAACTGTTGTAAAAGCAAATTAGGACAAAGAATGAACAGAAATTACAGAATCATAAAAGATCACACAGCATGTATCATAGTATTAACTTTTCCTTTCACGTTGATGTGAGAAGCATTTATGTGCTATTAGTTCTTTGTCAATCATGATATACAAGTGTACAATTTGAGGATGCGAAAGTAGGCGATTGACAATGTCATAGAACAAAAGCAGCTAGAGGGAAACTGAACAGACAATGTATACTACCTCAGAGATGTTCTTACTATTTAGTCGTATGACATATAAACTGTAGAAACATAATAAAGTTTGTATGTACGAAACAAAATAATAAATAAAGAAGAAATAAAAAGCAGAACGAAAGTATTGTCATAGTAGAAGTAGAGTCATGCGTAAATCTGTTAGGACCCTTTAGCAGAGGTCAATGAAGACATAAAAGGAATTAGCAGTCACTAGTAATATATAAAGTACAATTGGAGAACAAATTTTTCAGTGGAAAGCTGTTATACAGATAGAAAATGTTGGAAAATATGAAGAGTTGAACAATTATCTGTCAAAGTTCAGTCAAACGACTATACAGTAGGGAAAAAGAATAAGAATAAGGTTCTACAAATGTTGGTGGGACATCATATTCTATGACAGAAACTTGTTCTATACTGCAGCAGTTGAAAAAGACAAATGTTGCAGACCCTCACTGATTTAGGAGAAACTCCATTTGTAAAAGAAAACAATTGATCTCCCCGCTCCCCCCCCCCCCTCCCTTTTTTCTGAAATTTGTAATTTCTCTCCATTTTGAATTCTATATTTCACATTCAAACGACTTTCAAAAAGCGGCATACACAATGATATATAAAAAGTAACTTGTTTAAAACTCTTTCATGTTTAAATAGACGTGCGAAAGTTGAGTTATTTCAGACTGCAAATGCTTTTAATTGAGACCATTTTGTCTCGTTAAAGGGCATATGATGTATAAATTCAAAGCAGTAAGTATCACTTCTGAATTATTGATACTAAATGGTTAAATAAAAAAGTACCAAAAAAAGTTTTGTATATTTTGTTGGTTTCCTTGAGAGTAATAATGAAACAACAACCTTGATGAAACACAGCAAACACTCTGTTTACAAACCCCATTGAATATACCCTTATGATTTGCAATTGGACCATTAGGACAAAACCTCAAATTTAGTATGAAAGTGACACATGATAGATTCACACTTTCTCATATAGTCATATATATTACCAAACCACTGTAAAAAAAATAAAAATGTACTAATGCACAAAAATTAAGACCTACTCAACAATAATAAAGAATTTCACTTCTTCATCATACAAGTACACCTTATTATCTATGTTTACACTTACTTTTTACCTCATCACAGATTTGAAGCAAAAATGAAATTTGTAGAGAAAGTTGCAGCTTTCAGTTACCTTAGGCTAACTAACCCCACAATTCATTAATATTTTTTCTTGGGTTTGGGGTCATTTTAGAGAACAATATTTTCTTTAGTTTCATGCCTCTACATGTTTATTTACATGTCGTCCTAATAAAAAATAAATATTTGTTAATATTTGTTATTTGACAAAATGAATGCATAAATTATAGTATTGTTCTATCTTGAAAGTTATAACCTTTAAAAGTACAAATTTGATCTAACATAGAGAAACTATATAGCTAGTTTTGTCTTGCTGAGCATCTAAATCGTTGATTCTAGCTGCATCTACAGAGGACAAATTAGCAATCGGAGAAAGTTAGGTTAAATGATGAAGAAATACCTGGCCAGCGCATCCGAAGCAAACGAAAATGTTGACGAAACCTTCAGATTCAGCGAGAAATTGAAACTGTGCAGAGAAACAGAAGAGAGTGAGGAAGAGATGGATCGGCCATTGAAGAGTTGAGATCTATGGAAAGAAGAATTGACAAAGTCGACGGAGCTGACGAAGAAGGCGAGGCAAAACCCTTACGAAATTGTGAGAGAGTAGTCGGAAAGTTCTGGAGAGAGTGAAAGGAAAATGGGACAGGTGTGTATTGATGAAATGAAAAAGGGACAAATGAATGTACAATCAGTACTACCTTTAGTACAACACAAAGATGCAGTGTTGGTCCTTTTGAAGTCCCATTTCTAAATAAGGGTAACTAGATGGGGGAGGCCCGTGGCAAGCATGGGCCCAATAGTCAAAATATTATGCTTGTAAAAATATTAATACTAATGAATCAAGGGTGATACATTTTGCAGAAGATGGATAATATCATATATTATATACTATTAGAAATATTTAGAATATGTACAACATACATCAGTATGATGCCAACTTGAACGATCTGCAAATACTAACTAATGTAATACAACCAAAATAATTACCCTTACTTAGAAGAGTGATATAGCAGATGTTTCAGTTTTGATATATAAGATTAGCATGTCATTGTTTATCATATGTAGAGGATACAAATTGTGCAACAAGCTAAGAAATGTCTATTTTATAGTTTATACTTGGATCCATATGTGACTATTTAACACATGTTTGCTCTTTAGTTCCTTATTTCTCTTCATCTTCTTTCGCGTAGCCCCATTTTGTATTCACAAATTTTTCTGGTGCTTCTCTCTCTTCTTCACTCTTTGCATGTATCATCTCTCTTCTTGTGTGCTTGAAGATTTTGGGGCGTGACACTTTCAAATGAAGTTGAGACGGTCCGCAACCCTATTGTCATTTCCTCTTAAACTATATATCTTTAATTTCACTTATTTAAAGGAAAAGTTGAACAAGAAATTTTTAAAGCAAAACCTATCCCACATGCATAATGACATAAAATGTGAAAACTTCTTCATAAAATATTATGTGTGTCAAAAATACAGATAATAACTCATTAAGGAAATGAATATTACCTAAATCATTTCCAAACATCATTAGTCTCCTATTGTATGATCATCCTCTCAATTCCACAATTGTAATTATGAATATGATAAATTATGGTGTTTTGGTATCGTCTGTCAGTCTGCTAATAAATCAGAAGTTGCAATTCAAACAATACAAAAATAACGGAAGAAATTTAGATGATACTAAAAGCATAACTTCTATCTAAGAATAACTACTAAATACTAATACAACATCATCCAAAATAGAACACTATGGTTCCCTACAAATCTTAAAAG